AAAAATTGGGCAGTACAGACGTTCTCCAAACCTTTGACAGATTAATCCGTAGTTCTAGCTATCTATAAAAATCTTTTACTGTATATATCCATTAAAAAAAAACCACAATGGCTTTTTAAGGATTATAATTTTATAAGGTTTATAATTTCATCCAAATTGGCTTGGCTCTAATACAGTGTCTCTCAACTTTCCTAATGACGCAACCCCTTAATACACTTCCTCATGTTGTGGTGACCCCCAACCATAAAATTATTTTCGTTGCTATTTCAGAACTGTAATTTTGCTACTTTTCATTCACTGGGCCCAAATTTGGCACAAATACCCAATACGTCCAAATCTGAATACTGCTGGGGTTGGGGAGGTTTGATTTTGTCACTTGGGAGTTGTAGTTGCTGGGATTTATTGTTCACCTACAATCAAAGACGTCTGTGTGCCAAGTTTGGTTCAATTCCATTGTTGGTGGAGTCCAGAATGCTCTTTGATTTTAGGTGAACTATAAATCCCAGCAACTACAACTCCCAAGTGACAAAATTGGGTATTTGTGCCAAATTTGGTCCAGTGAATGAAAATACTGGAAGGGTTTGCTGGGCATTGATCTTAAGTTTTGGAGTTGTAGGTCACCTACATACAGAGAGCACTGTAGACTCAAACAATGATTGATATGGATCAAAGTTGGCAGCAGTACTCAATATGCCCAAATGTGAACACTAGTGGAGTTTGGGGAAAACAGACCTTGACATTTCGGAGTTGTAGTTGCTGGGATTTACAGTTCACCTACAATCAATGAGCATTCTGAACCCCACCAACAATAGAATTCTGCCAAACTTCCCACACAGAATCCCCATGACCAACAGAAAATACTGTGTTTTCTGATGGTCTTTGGCGACCCCTCTGATATGCCCCTCACAACCCCGCATGGGTCCCAACCCCCAGGTTGAGAACCCCTGCTCTAATAAATACCTTAACTTCCAGAATAGTGGCTTTCTCAACTGTTTGCTTTCAAGTGACACTTTCCACCTTGACTAACATGTCAAGAAACCGATGTACATTGCAGACAATTGTGACAAATACTCCACAGCATAAAACAATAGAAACAATGAAGTCACTAACATGTTTAGAAGGACATGTTTTAGTGAAGGCACCTAAGATGAGTGGATTCTAACCAACCAAACCTTATGCCATAATCAATTTTGAAAATCCCAAGGTGCCTTCACTAAAATGTGTCATTATAAACATGTTAAAGTCATTGTAGTCTTTTAAGATGTATGCTTTCTTTTAAAAAGCAATTATTTGCATCACTTACTAGTTTTTATTGTTTTAGGTGGGAACCAGTAAGGGTTAATAAAAGAATGGCACAAAACTTTCCAAATTGCTATTAAAATGTATTTTTATAAATATTTTTGTTGCTGTTAGGTACTTTTAAATTCACTTTTCTTTGTGTCAGGAGTGACTTGAGAAACTGCAAATTGCTTCTAGTGTGAGAGAATTGTCCGTCTGCAAGGACATTGCCCAGGGTACGCACTGTCAGTGGCTTCTCTCGTGTCCCCACATGGGAAGCTGGAGCTCACCCCACTCCCCGGATTCGAACTACCGACCTTTCAGTCAGCAGTTCAGCCGGCACAAGGGTTTAACCCACTGTGCCACCAGGGGCTCCAAGACTGATGGTGACTTCTAGGGGTTTCTTGGCAAGATTTATTCGGGGGGGGGGGGGTTGCCCCTGCCTTCCTCTGAGGTCAAGAGTGTGCAACGTGCTCAAGGTCACACCCTGGGTTTCCCAACTGAGTGCAGATTCAAATCTGGTCTCCCAGAATCTTAGCCCAATACACAAATCACTATACTATTCTGACTCCTTTAAAATGTTATTTATCACATCACAAAATCAAGAGCACTTCTGCTATTTTTAAAATGCAACTGTATAACCAAAAAAAGCTACCTATACTTTTAATTTATTAGAAATAAGATGGATGGATGGTATCCTTGAAGTGACTGGCTTAACTTTGAAGGAACTGGGGGTGGCCACAGATGACAGGGAGCTCTGGCCTGGGCTGGTCCATGAGGTCACAAAGAGTTGGAAGTGACTGAACAAATCAACAACAAGCTGGTATTGTACCACTTGATAACCACTGGGAAGTAGCAGCCAATAAGGAAAGGACCAAGGCAGTGATATCTCTGGCCCATCCCCTGTTCGGATATCAGCCAGCATGCCAATGCCTTAAATCAGTGGTTCTCAACCTGGGGTCCCCAGATGTTTTTGGCCTACAATTCTCAGAAATCCCAGCCAGTTTAGCAGCTGTTAGGATTTCTGGGAGTTGAAGGCCAAAAACATCTGGAGACCCCAGGTTGAGAAGCACTACCTTAAATCAAGAAATACTGTAGTTTTCGAAGATCTACAGATCCTTGCAGGAACACCTCAGCAAGCAAGAGTCCAAAAGTGGCAGGCTAAAACCTGAAACCTCAATCAGTGGCTGATACCAGAACCTCAATCAGTAGCTGATACCAAATGAGAGACTCCCCCTGGGCACACAGAAGACTGGGTGACTTGGAAGGCGCCGAACAGATTGCGCTCTGGCACCATGAGATGCAGAGCTAACCTTAAGAAAAGGGGCTACAAATTTGAGTCCAGGACGTGCGAGTGTGGAGAAGAGCAAACCACAGACCACTTACTACAATGCTGTCTGAGCCCTGCCACATGCACAATGGGACCTTCTTATAGCAACACCAGAGGCACTCCAAGTGGTCAGTTAATGGTCAAAGGACATTTAATATCATGCCAAGTTTTAAAACTTTGTGCTTTTTAAATACATTATCACTGTACCCTCGGTTCACTTCTGATACAATAAATAAATATGGCATAAGGGCACTTCCAGTGGGACTCCGTTTCTGCAGTGCATGGAAACGGGACCCAGAATGCGTTTTGATGCAAGCGGAAAGACGGAGCTTGATGGGAGGGAACAGAGTTAAGACTGTTCCCTCCGCTTTGTCCCTGCTCATGGGATGAGGTTCTGAGTCAACTCTGTTGGATGTCTGAAACTTTACTTTTGGGACATAATTTTCCAGTGTTTATTTTCTGCCACAACTCTCTGCAGTTGACCCTCAGGCTGAAAGAAGAATCACCGGAGGAGTATGCAAAGAACAGGCAACACTCTCTGTTGATAATCTAGGGAAATTTCCTACTTCTTCTTTCTTTGAACTTTCTTCCCCTGAAATTATGATGAGTCACTTAAAAAGGAAAAGCAGTTTCCACTGAGGTTTGCAACCTGTGACCAACAAGTCGAGGCTGAGTCAAATGAACTCCACTCTCAAAGTTCCCTAGGCAGGTATCAATTTCACAAGAGGAATTCGGAAATGCCATTCCTTGGGGACACATCGAGTTCCGAAAGAGCAGTATGAGGCAAACTCTTATTACTAGCAATGCCTTTGCACTTTCTATTTTGGTACGGTATGGATTTTAGCTGCATTTGTTTGAACTTTTGTAATCTAAATTAGGTAAAGGGTGGGATTTTAACCAACAATGACACTATTCAGCTCTTAAAAGACCAAATGGCAATTCTTTTTAATAAATAGCCAACGGATCAACTTTACAAAATCTTACAGCAGTGTTTCTCAACTTGGGGGTCGGGACCCCTGGGGGGTGTCGTGAGAGAGTGTCAGAGGGGTTGCCAAAGACCATCAGAAAACACAGTATTTTCTGCTGGTCATGGGGGTTCTGTGTGGAAAGTTAAACTGCTGAGCTGCTGAACTTGCTGACTAAAAGGTCGCTGGTTTGAATTCGGGGAGTGGGATGAGCTCCCACTGTTAGCCCCAAATAACATAATACTAATGATTAGTATTATAACAATATAATACTAATAATAACACAATATAATAATCATATATTTTATATTACATGTAATACAATATATGTAATGTAATATTACATGTAATACAATATAATTATTTTATATTACATGTAATATTACTGATAATATTACAGTATGTTATAGTACAATATAGTAATAAATAATACTAATATTATGCTGTGCTAATAATATATTGTATACACATATAATATTGATAAAATATTATAATGTAATCCAATATAATACAAATAATAAAATATAATAATTATATATTTTATATTACATGTAATATTACTAATAATATTACAGTATAGTGGTATTGCACAATATAATATATAATACTAATATTGTGCTATGCTAATAATATAATATGTTGTATGTACATATAACTTGTAAGCTGCTCTGAGTCCCCTCCGGGGTGAGAAGGGAGGGATATAAATGTCGTAAATAAATAAATAAATTCTGCCAACCTAGCAGTTCGAAAACATGCAAATGTGAGTAGATCAATAGGTATTGCTTTGGCGAGAGGTAAGAACACTCCATGCAATCATGCCGGACACATGACCTTGGAGGCGTCTACGGACAACGCCAGCCCTTCGGCTTAGAAATGGAGATGAGCTCCACCTCAGAGTCGGACACGATTAGACTTCACGTCAGGTGAAACCTTTACTTTTTATGGCAGGTGGCCATGATAGTGGAAGTCACAATCCAAAACAACTAGTCTGTGTTTGGCTGGAGCAGTCTGCCTCAATGTGTGCTAAAACTATATTATCAGCACACAAGGCATGCCAAGTTAAATCCCATTAAAGGATGTCAGGTCAGCAGAGCAGAGAAAGTCCAAAATGTTATCACTTCACACTTTATATTTTAGGCATATCTCTAAACCATCTTAGATATTTAAAAAATGTCATATGGAAATGAAACAAGTTTCAGACAGTTACCCCATCAGATCAAGATGTCAATCCTGGCTTTTTGCTGAGGGTTTCCACCTGAATAATTTATGCCCCCTTATGAAGAGAGTTCAAGAAGTACTTCTCGTTAAGACTGACAGAATTGAGCTGGATACATCTTTCTTGGCCCAGGAGCCATTCAGAAGCAACCACCCTCTTTCCTTATTCTGAGCAGCCTGGTAACAGCCCTTTAAAAACCTGCCAGACTTACCTGTACGTGCATGCAAAAAGTTCCAAATACCAACAAAGCTGCTGCGTGGACCACGTAAACAAATACACCAGGAGAGGAGAAACCAGCAGACGGCTTGTCTTCTTTCTTCATTCCACTCTTTCTTTTCAGCAGGCCAAGTGTCAGGCAATGCCAAGGGTTTGCTGTCACATACCACCAAACTGCCCAAGATCCCAGCAAAATAGCAGGTGAAGCAAGTACAAAGTTAGGGATCTGTTTGGGCTCGAAATACCGGAGGAAACCAACGTTCCAGTAAGCATCTTGAATATAGGCATAGAGTACAGGGAAGTCCCAGGAGCACCATGGCTGTTCACCATTATTCATGCTTGCTACGTGATAACCTTTGTCAACAGCCAGCTGCAACAGCAATCCTGGCACAGGATGTTCACTGGGTTTGCAGAACCGACAGTAAGCATAGAACTGAAACAAAGCAAAAGGTAGGAAAACAAATGCAGACATGGCTGCCACAGAAGCTGCCATGCTTAGGAAGTGACCTATGTTCTGCAGCAGTTTTATTCCAGTTCCAGCCTTTGTCTGGAGCTGGGAGGCAAAGCATTTTGTCCGGGAATAGAGAAGGAATCCAGCATTGATTAGTCCATTGGAGCGTACCCCAGTGGCTAGAGAGAAGAGAAGAACGCTGGCCCAACATTGCCCTTCCTCCAGCTGCCACATTGCAGTAAACGCAAGAAGGGCAAACATGCTTTCTGAATAGGCAGCTGCCATAAAGATGTTAGCTGGGGTGAGGCAAAAGAGGACTGCTGAGAGGAAAGCCCTCCTGCGACATTGTAGGACTAGACAACTCAGCTCATACAGAACCCAGGATGCTAAGACAGAGAAAAGACTATTGATAAGAGCTGCAGAAAGGAGCAGGCGGCTCCGGAGACACAGGAAACCACTGAAGGGCCACAGGGCTGTTTCTGCTGCTACTCGCAGGATCAGGGGAAAGAGAGGGAAGAAGGCACAATTATGCTCATAGACGTAGCCATGCTCAGCAATGAACAAAAAGTGCTCTGCATCCCAGCGGGATAAGCCTCCCAGGAGCCATTCCAAGACCCGGTCCGCAAACCCAGACTCTGACCAGCGCGGTGGTGAGAAAGCATCGGCAGCATGATCCGGGATCAAAATGTTGAAAAGGGCCTACAGATGGAAAGAAACAGAAAATGGTAACTCATTCCAAAATCTGTATTTAACTACGTATATACTCGAGTATAAGCTGACCCGAAAATAAGCCAAGGCACCTAAATTTACAACAAAAAAGTAGGAAAACGTATTGACTCGAGTATAACCCAAAGGTGGGAAATTGTCATATGTTCTGCAGTTGATGGTGGTTGGTGATGGAAGGGTTAATGTGAGTATTCGTTCTAGAGGGTTTGGTAATCTGTAAGTGGGAGTTCATGGGTGAAAGCAATTAGGGGTGGAGGTGTGCAGGAGATGGGTTGCACCTGGGTGTTACTGGATTTAAGGAACTAACCTTGAGACTGATCTTTGGGAGAAAAGTATCTGTTGTATTTTGATGGTGGATGCTGCTGGTTTTTCCCCCCAGGTCTGTTGGATTTTTTGGTATCCTGACCTGTCTCCTGTAATCTTGGAATTCTGGAACCTTTGGACTGGCTTTTGACTACGGTATAGACTCTTGATCCCTGGACTTTGTTTATTGAACTGTCGGCATTTGACCATTGGACTGGACCCTTTTGACTATGAAGTTATTTTTGCTATCAGTTTTTGTTTATTCTGTAGCTGCATGCTATCTTTGTGTTTTATATTTTGGACTATAAGAACAGCCAGCAAGTAAGTGCTGTTTTAATTAAGCTGTTGGTTAAAACTGGGAGTTTGATTCATCTCTACCTAAATAAGGCAGAGCCCTGGCAATGTGACAGAAATGCAGCTGCTATGGGTAAATTAAAAAAAAAGATAACTGATTTATTTATTTATTATGCATTAAAAGGGTATTAAACCCAATACCTAATACTCAACAAAGACCAATATGCTGCTAAGCATATGCAACTGTAAGACCACAAAATGTCCCTTTCTGCAGAAGATATAATTTCAATAAAGCTAACTGGACAAAGTTTACAGAGAACTTGGAAGCAGCTATTTCTGATATAGAACCATCTATAGAAGGCTATATGACCTTTTTGTAGAAGCTGTGAAAAGATCTTCAAGGCTCTCAATCCCTAGACGCTGCCACACAAGCTACCTTCCAGGCCTAAATAATCGCGAAACCAGCTACAGGAATATCTCAGACTTTTCCAAGAGAATCCATACAGCAGCGAGACTACAGCAGCAGGCCAAAAATTATCTACAGCCATAGCTAAAGCTAAAAAATACCGCTGGATAGAACTACTTGAGAATCTTGTCATGTCTAAGAGCAGCTGAAGAGCCTGGCACTTGCTGAGACGCCTGGATAGTGACCCTCTGGTCAATTGTGGACATGCAAATGTAGCAGCTGGTGTGCTATCTGCAGCAAAGTAAAGGTGAAAATCAACAGGGTGTCAGAACTTGAAACCCACCAGTTGACACCTCCCATAAACTTGAAAGAACTCAGAGAAGCTATTAAGTGATGTAAAACTGGTAAAGCACCTGGCCTGGATGACTTAATGATGGAGCAAATAGATACCAATAAAATTACATTAATTGAGGCATTCATAGTTTAAATGTTTTTGAATATTTACATGAAACTGTAATTTAAGATAAGATTGTCCAACTCTAATTAAACTGTTATTCTAACCTTCTTTAATGAAAAAGTGTATATATTTCCTTCCAATAATAAAGAGAGTAAAATAATAAATGTAATAATAATAAGAGTAAAATAATAAATGTAATATTAATAAATATAATAAAATGTAATAATAATAATAAAATAGAGCAAAATAATAAATGTAATAATAATAACAACAACAACAGAGTAAAATAATAAACAAGCTTGACTCGAGTATAAGCCGAGGGAATCTTTTTCAGTCGAAAAAAAGGGCTGAAAAACTCTGCTTATACTTGAGTATATAAGGTATATTTATTCATATGTACATTGCTTCTCCTGCATTCCAGATTACCTTTGGTTACAGGGAGCAAGATATTCACATTGTACATATATGAATGGAAAAGTCACTCGGTTCCTTTTAGAATGTCTTACAAAAAAAGAGTTGATTCATATATATTTGCTCTGATAGGTTTTCAAAGAACTGAGCTCTTCTGATGCAGGGCAAGACAGAAGTAGTTGAATAAATAAAAATGTAAACATTCAAGGACCTTAAGGCAACTCAATGGAAGTTAATGTGAGCAGACACTATAGAAATAATGGTGGATGTAATGAATCCTTTACCTTAGCTGGCTGCCTGAAGTCTAAAGGGAGTGGGCCTGGCGAAGCCACGGCATCCATTTTAGGAAAGGGAGACAGGGAGAAGCCATTTTAGTTAGGTTTGCCTTGAGGGGGCATGTTCAAGTCTTAGAGGGAAAATCAGGAGGCTAGGATTGGCTAGAAAGATGGGGACGGAGCCTAAGTGGTCTAGAGGAAAAAAAGTGTCTTTTAAACTGAGGCTTGAGGTCCCAGTTTAGTCAGTTAAGGTTTGGAGCAGGAGAGAGAAGTGTTGGTGTTAGTGAGAGCGGGTTTTGGGTTTAGCGAAGAAGATTGGTTTAGTCTTTTGTGAAGTATTCAGAGTAGCTATTGAGTAAATAGCTAGAATACTGTGAAGGAGCAGTACCCGTTAGTGGTCTGTTAAATTCCTAAGGAAGTCTAGTACAGGGTTTTTGGCTAGATTCCTAAAGGGCATTTTTGGGAATTATGTTCAGAGATTTATTTCCTGAAGTAATTTTCTGTGGTGGAACTTTGAAGACTTATAACCCAGAAGTTTTTAAGATCTTTACTCTGTTCAATAAACATTCTTGTTCTTTTATTCAACTTATACCAGCCTCAGTGTGAATACCTTTGTGGTCAAAGTATTATTAAAGTCAGTTTCACAGCAGCTTCTAAGAAACCATAGTGGCACAGTGTGTTACAGAACAAACTCTGAATATTACCTCAGTCTGATTATTATTGAGATGGTGGCAGCGGAATTCATTGGAAGAATCATTTTAAGTCTCTCAGTTCCAGTGGTTCCCAGTTCCTAACTTTTAAATATACAGTTGGTTCAGCAACCATACTCCCTCTTCCTTTTGTGAGCATTATAATTTTGGTAGAGCAGCGTTGGGATTTATTTTATATATATTTCTCCGTCTATAAATAAATTTAAAATCCTACTACTACTCACTGTGTTTATTATAGTGGACAAGCTGCAAAGAACAGAAATTACTTTCTTAGTGAGCTTTCCAGACACCACATTAAGGTGTTTGTTCTACATGGAATCTTGATCCCCAATATGGTTAATGAAATTGCCCAAAAGTGCTTTAAGATTTTAGTTTTCATTTTAATAATAGAAACACATCAGAAAATATGTTGAATATAGTTTCCAAACAATTGAGGCCAGAGGAAAAAAATAAATTAAATATTTCTGTAGCTATGTGCACAGATGTACAGAATAACCTTCCTCCTACATATCAATATGATTCACTAGTCCTGTTTTGCCATTCAGGATTGAAAAGCAGCGGTCAGCTCAGCTACCTTACAGCCAAGCCATTCTTATTCAAACAGACGTCAAAATAAAGCCTTTGGAATGCATTAATAACTCAAGTGGGCCTTACTTATCAAGTTTGGAAACCACAACTGTGGTTGATGGCCCAATAATGCTCAAAAACATAAGGAGTTTTGAACTGAGGACTCTGGCAAAAGATGCCAGGTATTTTAGTTCCTTGGCCAAGGAGGCAGCTATTTTATTTATTTATTTGTATACTTATATACCGCAATATCTCAGCCTACAACGGCGACTCATTGCGGTTAACAGTACTTAAAAACAACAATAAGCAATTAAAAGCATAAAAAACATATACAATACACAGTATCGGGCCACCAATACAGACCAATGCATCTCTTAGTTAAAATCATAATCCGAATTCATCATCTATAATTACCAGTCCTTAGTCATCAACTTCATCGCACCGGATTACCCAAATGCTTGTTCAAACATCCATGTCTTAAGTTTTTTCCGAAATACCAACAGCGAGGGAGCTGATCTTATCTCTATAGGGAGGGCATTCCAAAGCCGAGGGGCCACCACAGAGAAGGCCCTGTCTCTCGTTCCCGCCAGCCGCACTTCTGAAGCCGGAGGGACAGAGAGCAGGGACTCTCCAGAAGATCTTAGGGTCCTGGTGGGCTGATAGGCTGAGATACGTTCGGATAGATATGTTGGGCCAGAACCGTTTAGGGCTTTAAAGGCCAATGCCAGCACTTTGAATTGGGTCCGGAAGCTAATCGGCAGCCAGTGGAGCTGGTACAGCAGAGGAGTTGTATGCTCCCTGCGCCCTGCTCCTGTTAGTACCATGGCTGCCGCCCGTTGGACTAGTTGGAGCTTCCGAGCCGTCTTCAAAGGCAACCCCACGTAGAGAGCGTTGCAGTAGTCAAGACGGGATGTAACCAGAGCGTGGACTACCGTGGCCAAGTCAGACTTCCCAAGGTACGGTCGCAGTTGGCGCATGAGTCTTAACTGTGCAAATGCTCCCCTGGTCACCGCCGAAACCTGGGGATCCAGGCTCAGCGATGAATCCAGGATCACACCCAAACTGCGAACCTGTGTCTTCAGGGGGAGTGCGACCCCGTCCACAGGCTGTAACCCTGTACCCTGTTCGGCCCTACGACTGACCAGGAGTACCTCTGTCTTGTCTGGATTCAATTTCAATTTGTTCGCCCACATCCAGACCGTCACAGCGGCCAAGCACCGGTTCAGGACCTCGACAGCCTCCTTAGTAGTAGGTGGAAAGGAGTGACAGAGTTGTGCAATCATCTGCGTACAGATAACACCGCACCCCGAAACTCCGGATGATCTCCCCAGCGGCTTCATGTAGATGTTAAACAACATGGGGGACAGTATTGAACCCTGAGGAACCCCACAATGCAACGGTTGTGGGGTAGAACAGGAGTCCCCCAGTAACACCTTCTGAGACCGACCCTCGAGGAATGACTGGAGCCACTGCAAAGCAGTACCTCCGAGACCCATTCCCGCGAGGCGTCCCAGAAGGATACCGTGGTCGACGGTATCGAAGGCCGCTGA